AATGGAGTATAACTCCAAAAACTAATCTTACTTAAATTATTTTCAATTTTTAGTCATTAAATGACATACACAAAACTGTCACAAAAAATTTGCTTAGAATGTTCCTTAAAATGAATTTTTTTAATAAAACTATTTCACCTGCTCAAAATATAAATTTTAGACATACATCATAAACTCGAATAAATGTAGTTTAAACTTAAGAACCAACTATTAAAACGTACATTTAAGTTGCAATTCACAGAATGTTGTAAACATTTTTTGCATTCACTCTACAGCTAAAAATGCTACTGCAAGACCAAAATAAACTAAAAATTGGTGTATATTTTTATCTGACAATGTTTGAGACTACAATTTACATGTAGCACACTACAAATTGTAGCCTAGTTTGAGAGTACTAGGTATGATTAGCACACACTGTAACACAGCACAAAGGATTATATACGATACACTGAACAGAAAATTAAAATCAAAATCTTACATTCAGCGATATTAAAGTAGTGAGAAACTGTTGGAAGTATTTTTCATATGTAAGAGATACTACATGTATTTGGTAACTGAAAGTTATCAATAGTGTTGTAAATGTACTTTTATTATATATTTAATGACTATTTCTTTCCCACTACAAAGTTTCCTTCAAATGAGTAAAATTATCTGGCAGTGAGTAAAAAATCCTTTAAAAGTATCTACCCAGTATATATTTAACCCTTCAATTACCAACTTGTTTTTATCACATTCACTACTAGGAAAGTCTATATAGCATGACACTGAGTAATTTTATGTTTTTGCCTGATACAACATTCAGTAAAAGAACTGACCAATATCACTGAAATTAAATATTTTTTTTCACAATATAAAAGAAAAACCCAGCAGTAATCAGTTGAATTAATTTCAATATTGATGATGTTTTTGTTTATATATTATTAGGGCCTTTTAACCAATAAAGTCATGGACCCACAAGCAGTTAAGTGCATAAACAGTTTAGAAAAATCTGTTAGAAAGATGATCACATGAACCCCATTGGAACTTCTAAGGTTATAAAACTCTTTGTAATAAAAATATTAGTCTGTATTTTAAAACCTGTACTTTCCTAACAGTATGTATATTTTTTCTAAGAGAAAGAAAAATCCTCTCGGGTGCTAATTGATACTGTAAATATTAATTATCATGACAATAACATCAATAACTAATACTATATATTGACTAGTCAATTAAAAAAAACAGATAAGTTAAAATTTTTAATAATACTAAAGTTTCTTTTTTTATGATAGTTTTGCTTATTTTTCAAAATATGCATGAAACTGATTATTTTGAAAATCATTTCATGAGTCATTTTTGTTAAGCATTCTAACCAAGTGTAAAAAAATATAAAAAAAATCAACATTAGTTTCTGTACTTAAAAAATTGCTCAGATTAGAATCAAAATTAAAATACCTACCTGCTTTATGTATGACACTACTAGTAGTATTAATTGGAGTGTTCCAGTGGTTAAGTACTGTGGTAGGTACAGAAACATTTGTTGCTACTAGTGAAACTGATACTGGGACAGGAACTGTTGGTATGGCTTTGGCTGCAGCAGGGAGGGTTATGTTAGTAGGATTGGCAGATGTGAGGATGATAGGTAGAGAGACAACACAAGGGGCTGCAGATGGTATGGGTACAGTTAGTGCACAAGTTGACATTACAGGTACAGATAATGTGGGTGGAGTGACACTGACCACACATGTAGTTTCTGTTATGGTGACTGTAGGCAGACTTGTGTTCACTGATGAGTTTTCTACATTCATGTCTGACTGACTTGGTTGGCACTGTGGACAAGACCAGGTACCTACAGGTACCGTCAACAATGGGGGCTTTAGGCAAGTTAAATGAAAAACTAAATTACATGTATCACACATAAGTAATTCTCCTTGCTGCCTGCAGATGGCACACATATCTTCATGGGTGTCCTGCTAGAGACAATAAAAAAACTAATATAACACTCTCAATTACTATTCAACAAGCAAAAACAATTTACTTTGGGGAAACAGTGATAATGCACCATACAAACTACAACACTCAATAACAGAAGTAAACAGTCTTAATAATTTTCTCTCCCCCATAAAAGTATATATATATATATATATATAGTAAATAATGATTCATAGTGTATTCTAGGTCTTTTTAATAGTTTAAATTGTCTCAAAGTAACCTTTTTTTGTGTTTGATCATTTTTATTGAAGTTTGGAATATTTGGATTGTCTTCACATCTTCCAAGAAAGTTTAAAAGTTATCCCTCAAATTATCAATTATATATTTGGTTGAAATATTGCACTGCATTGGGTAATTTTCTGTTTTGCCTGTTACAACAGATAGTGTAAAGAACTGAACAAAAAAGATTAGGAAGAATCACTAATTTTTTTAAAGTAAAATACAAAGAGGATCCTAGCAGAATTAGTAGGGTTATAATTATAATATTGATAGTATCTTTTATTTGATTTTTTTTTGTGGTTCAAGGTCATGGACCCACAAGCAATTTAGTGCATTAAGCAATTAGAAAAACATTTCTAAAAGTGAAAGGGTTAAGTCTACAAGTAGATTTAAAATAACATATTAAAAAGCTTGAAGTTTTTAAGTAAATCACCCAGCTTTTGATGTGACTAATATAACACAACTACAGTGGTCAGGATTATGATAAAGGTACATGCATGAGAATAATCAAGTGTATTAAATAAATTTGGTGGTTGTTAATGAATTGGCATCAAGTTGCTACTAGGGGCTTATAAGATTAAAAAGTATTCAAATGTTAAAAGTAATATATTTCTATAATATTAACTTCTTATACTTTAAAAGTTTAGTGTAGAGTTAGGCCAGTGGTGGGATTCAAATATTTTAACAACAGGTTCTCTCACTAGCAGCATGCCATAGAGACCAAAGATTATATGTAAAATATATTTATATTATATGTAATATATACAATTTATATTACTTTAATCTAGTTTATTTCATAAAAATATTTTCTAATGCAATTTCGTGCTTGCCAATTATTAGCATAACATTTCAATTTTCATAGCTGTATAAGGTATATTAATTATATAGATCTAGGAGCCTAGAGCTATGTATATAGATGATCTAACCTTAGGTATAATAATAATAATAGATTAATGTAATTATTTAGATAAGAATCTGTAGAAAAAGCGTTCACCCGCTGGCTAATAATTCAGCACAGATTTGCACTCACACGTAGGCCTAGGACGCTTGGCCTATAGTAGATGATATAACTAAGTTATATCTAATAATAATAATAATTTAGAGAAGATCATAAGAATCTGTATAAAAAAACACCTGCTGGCAAATGATTCATCAGAGATCTAGTAGACCTAGTCTGCCTAGCCTGCTAGTAAAGTTGCGATGTAAACACGCATACTTGTAAGTTGTAACGTTATAATTAGGCCTATACATACGATTGTTAACAACTGGTTCGTGGAGGTCATTAAATTCTAAGAACAGGTTTGCACGAACCGGTGCGAACCGGCTGAATCCCACCACTGAGTTAGGCCAATGATATGCAGGTTCCTATCAATTGATTCTGATTATGTATTTGGTTAATTTACATATTTCTAGTTAAAAGTGTTTTTACAAAATGAAATCAGTTACTGAACATTACTGGTACACTGCAATTATTAATGATCCATTTGAAAAATTCAATGTTTTGTACAAGTTTATTACAGAGAGAGAGAGATAGAGGAGATGAAACCTAACAGACAATAAGTTGCCAACCTGATGTTGCTAAAAATTAAGTGTGGAAGTGATGTTTATGTGCTACATTAGAAATCTAGAAATAGTAACATCTAGTAAAGATGTTGTTTCAGTGGGCTATCTGCATTCTGTCTACTAGGAGGAATTCAACCCTAGATGTTAGCATTATAAGTCCATAAAGACTTTATAAAGTAAATTAATTTATGGCTAAATCTAATACAATAAACTCTCTGCCAGAGATGGAAAACACAATTTGTTTAACTCCATTATACGAAACAAAGCTCAGCTTAATGTCCATCAAAAGGAAACTTTACAACATTCCTCTCAATCCAAATCACATAACAAAAAACTTTACAAAGAATTTCTCTCAGCAATCAAGTAAGCTTAATTCATCTCAATATCTCTTGTCAATCAAACTAGAATTGTTTGCTCAGTGAAATATTCTAAAAAAAATTAATTCAATATATATCACTACTTTTAATTATGTATTTCTGTATGAAGTTTACGTTGTTTTGAGCTACTATAAATTATAATTGGGTCTTTACTGCACAATCAGTTTAGCAAGGGTTAATAGTACACATAAAAATATTTCATATACATTGCTTAAAACACTGTCAAATCAGCAATTCTACATTATCTCATGTTTTAAAATTTAGAACTAATAATCACAAGGATGCTTTCCTCAATTATAACTAATGCTTCTAAAAAATAATTGCAGGAGACTGATTAGCCAGTAAAAGAAGATTATAACCAGTCAAAATTTGAGTAACAACAACAAAAACAAAACTGCTTATAAAAAGGCAAAAATTAGTATATTAGTAAGTTGGTGATGGTTGCTATGAAATTTAATGAAATTAACTTTTATGCTGAAAATTAATAATTTAGTTTCATCATGTCTTTCACAGCTGCATAGTAAAATCAAATTAACTGCACTGGTGAGAATTTATTTAAACCTTAAAAAAGGAGAAAAAGAGTGATATAGAAATCTTACTGTTATAGCTGACTTGCAAGGGGAATGAAAACCATTTGGAACCAACTCTGCTGAGGTTACTGTGCGTTCATCTTGAACACAGAAGGAGCCATTCTTGGTCGGGCTGGAGATCAGCCTTGGACGTCCTTAAAATCAGTGAAACATTCAAAACCTTTTGTAATGAATGAAGATATTATGTGTAAATTTAAAGTTTGAGAATTTCAAGACTAGTGTTAAAAAAAAGTTGGAATTATTACTGTTTTCACTGTTTCATTTTAAGAGTAAAGATATGAAAATCTAATACAAGAAATATTTTTTAAAGCTGAATACAAAAATGGGTACATATTGATTTTGAAATTCTCTTTTCCAGTTGAGTAATGTTCCCCCTTTTCATGAAATATATGACACACTAGTTGAATTGCATACTGCCTACTACTTATTCAAAACAAAACATTAATTTGGTAAGTAGCTTGCAATCAGCATGACAGTATATTAATTCCAGAAAATTCAATGTATGAAAGTGCAAACTAGCATCTATACTTATTTGTAAAATATTTTATATCATTACTATAAATGTATATTTAGTATACTTTTGAAATATTTCTGTGATGGTACTATAATGAAACAAAAATAAAAAAAATTGGTCTTTTAAATTATACTATTAAAGTGAACAAGAATATTTAAAATCACAAAATTAAAATCCATGCTTTACAGGGATGACTTAATGACATACAATACACATAGTGCAGACACTCAAATGCCATTATAAACCAAATAGGTAAGAGAATTCTTTAACTCTGAAACTTGTTTTAGTTATAAATATACATTTTAAACAAAGTTAAAAATTTACAAAAATAATGGTGATGAAAAAGTGGGCTTGTAATCGCTAATACCTGAACCACAGTTTTTAAATAATACAAAAATTGAAGGAACTCACCAAAATGTTGTTTGTTTTTAAACAGATTACAAAATAAAACTGCACTGCTCTCTTTAAATTAAAAAGTGAAATAGGCAAAAGATTTATGAAGTGGAAACAAAGTCTACTGATAAAACAATCACAGTTGAGAGAATGAAAAACATTTTAATTAAGAGATTCATAAAATGTTTCAGAATATACTTATTCCATCATCAGAGAAATCTCAAAACAAGGTGAACTGATGGACATACAAAAACAAATTAAGTAAAATCTTAATGATGTTGGATACCATGAAACTTAGAAAACATTAAGAAAGAATGAGCTGAAGAATTAACACATACAAACCATGAACTAAACTAAAAAATACTTTAAAACATTAAAATTAGTCAACAATAGGGCCAGCATGTTTATACGTGCAAAATGCAAAACAAGTAATAATACATTAGTCACAATTTAGGACACAAGAATTATAGCTTGATGATTGCTATCATTACACTGAAAGGATACAAGTTGATTATTTCGACTAAAAGGCTTCCTATAATTAGAAGTTCAAGGTCTATAGATCCAGTTGTAAAGGTGGTAACTGATACGTTATAATCCACAGTTTCTCTGTATGATCATGTTACTGAGTGACAGGATTTTACTAAGTAAAAACCAGTTCTACTCAATACCCATAAGTGCTCATAGTTTCAAATTTTCAAATGGCACTTAGTTTTTCCAATATTTGTAACCTTACACAAAGTACAAATATATTTCTACATAAGCCAGGCGCAACTGAGTGTTTGGAGTTTGGCCTTATACCGATATAAATTTTTAATTAGGAAATCAGTCTTAAGGTAAGTCTGAGTTTAATCTAGGGGAAAAAGTTACTTATCAAACTATAGCCTTATTTTTCACTCTCTGTACTTTAAAACCCATGAACAGTAGACAAATAACATAAACTTTTAAAATAAAATGACTAACCAAAAACTTTCTCACAAACATCACACATAAGTTTCTTAATACCAAACTTCAGCCTCATAAGAAATCATGCACTGTCCACAAATTTCCTTTCACTATCTGTCAGAAGCATATTAATAGAAAACTAGGTTCATTCAATTCTACTTTTAGTCTTTTCTACCAATTTCAACAGGCATGTTTAAAAGATGTGTTCATCATATAAAAGGTTTTATTTCCATAAGAACCAAAACTTTTCTCAAACTTTTCAAATACTTAAAAGGTCTCAGGTTTTAGGAATCCAAAACAAAAAATCTGCTGCCTAGCATTACATGATTAATTATGCAACAAAATTAATAAAGCTAATTTGGCTATACTTACCCCTAGATTTCTTATATGGTGGGTATTTTCCTTCCACATTTAGAAAAGCAGCATTCCTTCGCTTTTCTTCAAGAGCTGCATTTGAGAATTGAGGATTAGCAGTTGTGCGTCTCTTTCTTTCAACTTTCTTGTTCTGAAGCTCTGAAAGAGCATCTTTGGTCACCAGTCCCAAAGCAGCCATGAAGTTAGCTTTCTGTAAAATTAAATGTACTCAGAGATACAGCTATATAGAACTCAAAGTTAATTAATATACTTTAAATGATAAACACCACATATTCTCTCAGTATTACCTCACTAGATTACAATTACATTGTGCTTATTCACTGAAAGAATAATTTCCTTAGTGTCAATGCTTTAAGAGACATAATAATACAAACACTGCTAAAATTTTTATTTTTCTTAAGAATTGTGTGAGGATTTAATTCTGATATATAGCAAGGTATTACAAAGTTTTCAAAATAACAGCTGAAACAAAAGAATATAACAAATAAAACTAGTTAGTTGAGTGAGGAAGGGAGTCCCTGAAGCAGCAATTTTGAAAAGAATTTAGTTTTTATTTAGTGACAATTCTTTTAAGGCTAAGATTTCGTCAGGGATTAGAGGGTTAGGTTCTCTCTTACTATTAAAATTATAAAATGTAGATAGAGCAAGATTTTTTAATTTAGTAATAAAAAAATCATGGGATTGATTAAGACT